TTGGGTAAATATTTTGTGATTATGTCTTTTGCCCAACTTTCTTCCGGGGTTTGGCAATTATTCTTAAATATCTGACTTAGTGCTTTTACTAAGACTATGAATGTTAACCCTTTGTCAGAAAAATATGATGTAAGTATTTCCCCATTTCCTTCATCCCATTTTTTTCCCAGTTATTTACTTTTTTTTTTTTAAGTTCTCAACTATACCCCTATTTCTGAACCTCTCTAAGAATAATTTTTATGGACAACAAAATAGCTTGATACAACTTCAGTATCTTACCCTGATTTGAAAGGCACCGATGTGGGTGGTGATACAAGAGGATCACCAGGGAGGCTGTCAGCACCAGGTATGGGAGAAGGGGCCACAGAATCCTGGGAACTAACACTGTGCCCATCAGAGCTGGAATCTCTGGCAAACTTCACCTAGGGAAAGAACCCACAGGTGGAATAGGCCACCAAAAAGGCACCCTTCCCCTTCCATCCTCCTTGCATTTTATTTATTCTTCATTACACAAGTCACTACCTGTTCATTGTAGGCAAATCAGAAAATGTAGATAAGCCAAAAAAAAAAAAAAGGTAAGAATCACCTGCAATCCAACTACAGCAATAACATTTTAAGAATTCTGGATGTAGTATTTCACATTTATATTATCTATGTGTGTGTGCGTATGTATCTTTTACAAAAATAGGGCTGTATTGTTTTGTAATCTGCTTTGCTCACTCTCTATTTATGTATTTCCGTGTTACTAAATTATTGACCTACAGTATCACTTTTTAACTACTGGAGCATGTCTAATTTCAAGGGTCTTGCCCTTAACTGTTATTACCTCCAAAAAAAAAAAAATCTCCAAAGGGTTTTGGGAACAGAAAAATCATAAATACCTATGCTATTACAAAATATATTTCACCAATCCGTAGCTNTACTAATACCAGTCTGTACTATTTTGAATATAAGCTCTCTAAATAATGATTCTGGGTTAGAGACAGAAAAAGCAATAATTTAGACCAAAGGAACAGAAGATAGCAACATCTGCATTATTCATTCTAATACAGCCAAGGGAACATACTTCGACTTCTGAATCATTGGAATCCAGCTGTGGCAGAAGGATGGGCAGCATGGGCTGGCCCATTTTAGCCATCCGAGAGATCAACTTGGCCTTGACGGTATCCGGATGCTAACAAAAGAAGGAAGCCATAAAAAATCACTGTAATCAAGGTTCATTCATTTCAGTCAGCTCTATATCTTTAAGCTCTTGTATCACATCCAACACATACCCCTGCCATATCTATTTCAAACCATTTCTTCTAGAAAATGAGAGTTTTCTTGTCTAGAAGCACACATGGGTCATACGAGTACATAAGTAATAGCAGTAAAAATAACTCCCAATATGTTTGGAATGGACAAAGTGGTTTCATATGTATTACTTCATTTCGGTCAAGTCTCCCACCAGGTATAATTATTCTCATTTTACAGATGAAAAACTAAAGTACAGATTAAGGGAGGGAGGTTTTTTAGATGACAGTACCTCTCAAAAGCCCAGGAGCAATTCAGTAGATAGATATTCAGAAGAGATTTGGGGGAAAGAAGGAAACAGGGGTTCTTTGTTCTAAACTCTGGTTCACTGAACTCTGACTTGGCACTGACTACACACTACACCGCAGTGTAGCCACGCAGACTGCACACTAGCTCCTGTGCTAGAAGCCTCTGTATCCATTAACTGCTTCAAAGTACAGCTTTCAGAGTGGAGAGTGCACGCCTCTGAGGGGCACAAGATGATCCACTCAGTACAAAAAAAAATGATCATAACCTCTATTTTTAAATTCTTTTTAACCTACAGTGACAAGACATTAAGCCTGGTTAGAGGGGATGGCCGTACCTTATGTATATAATTTGTTAATAGACTGGGAGTGTGTGCTCATTTTTTTTCTTAACTGATGAAGACATATAACCAAAAAAAGTTGGATCCAAGAGAAAACTAATTATAAACCATATCCACACAATGGAATATTGTGATCTAGAAACTAAAGAAGAATGAGAAAACTGTCTATATACTAACATGGAAAGATACTGTTATATGTTATAATATGTAAAAAGCAAGGTGGATAATATATACAGTATGCTATATTTTGTGAAAGAAGGGGGAGAAATAAAATATACATTCCTACATGCTTGCACCTACATAAAGAAACACTGAAAGAATATATAGGAAACTAATAAAAGCAGTTACCAAGGGTGGAGGGGGGGGTTGAGATGGAATGGGGTAGATGGGGACATGGATGGGAGTGAGTCTTCTTTGTGTATATGTTGTTATATTGTTATGATAACTATACCATATAAATGTAATTTATCTATTCAAAACAAAAAAATAAAAACTTAAATGTAAAAACAAAAGCAAAATGATTAATTTTATGCTATATGAATTTTGCCTCAGTCAGAAAAAAAGAACTATAAAAAAAGAAAAGAGGGCCAGCTGAGTGGCTCGGTCGGTTAAGAGCGCGAGCTCTGAGCAACAGGGCCACCAGTTCGATTCCCACATGGGCCAGTGAGCTGCCACTGAGCTGCCAATAGATGGCAGGATGGCTCAGCTGGTGAGAGCACGTGCTCCTAACAAGGTTGCTGGTACGACTCCCACATGGGATGGTGGGCTATTCCCAC